CCATAGAAGAATATCACATCCTTGCACACAAATGGCCGTTTCTGGCGCCAAACATTAAAATATGCCCCACGGCAACAAAGCTAAACGGCTAAACTCAAGACCAGGTACACCAAACTATGACACCGTAAAGCTATAAAAGCCATCCTATCTCTATGTTCCAAATCTACACCAATGTGCTTCGAGGCTTGGGGCTAGCGCTCTTAGCTGGCGACTCTCTGCCCTCTAACTACCTCGTGCACTCCCAAGGAATGCGACTACCCAAAATCAACTCACAACACTGATAATAACAACACAAAGAAACGACTCAAAAGTTCATAGTTTATAGTTTCTAGCTTAGAGTTGGCCAAATGAGTGAGCAAGATAAGCCAGTGCTCCCACCAGGGGTGCGTTGATGTAAGTGGCTGGCTCTGATTGCTCGTAATCTGACCGCTCATCTGGGAACCTATCATGGAGGTCGGGCCCGCCCACAACGGCTCCGACCAGAATGTTTGGGTTCGGAGATTGCGACTTCATCACACTGAAGCCTGCCGAGCATTGGATCTTTCCCGGATGTACTGAGATCGACGGTAGGGATGATCCCCTGTGGTGAATCCTTCGTGGGTACCTTGGACCATACCCCACCATGTACGACATCTTCAAGGGGTTGTCGCCGAGCAAGTAATCCACCTGCGAAAAACATCATCATATATCCCCTTAATCAAATTACAAGACAATTCATGCGCTGTGAAAATAATAATCACTCGCAGGGCATTGAAATGGAACCTGTTTCTTGGCTATTGCTCGAAGTCTGCCGGGGGTCACGGCGATTCCGCCACAGTTGACGACCATGTGGGACGAGGTCAAGTATTTGGCATAGGTTAAGAGTAAGAAAGAAGAGGATGTCACATACTGCATGTTGCTATCACTCATCTTGAACAGAAGCCCACCTGCGTAGACAGTATCCAAACAGCAACGAACAAGAAGTGACCGTTACAAGATGATAAACCCACACGAGAGTAAAACAAGGATTTTTTTTTTGGGGGGGGGGGGGGGACCTCACCAGGTGTATATTGGGTAGGAGAAAAAGAGGCTCCGGGAACGAGAGAACAGATGAAATTGTCTGCATGACCCTTGTATTCATGCAGGGATTGGACCCTTTCAACTAGAAATTCCTGAGTTCATGATTGTAAAACCCAGTTAAGCACCATCACTGTTCATAAACACCATCATGTAGAAGGACTAAAATATAAAGTTGGTTAAAATGGGACCTTGGTTAGAAGTATCCTAGCTCCGGCATGCTTGTTATCCCACCCAAAGGTGTTGTCGAACTCCGCAGCCCCAAGGGTTTGTCCATTCACTTGAATGTAATGTAGGAACATTGGGTTCTTCGTAGCCTTGTGCAGCCAAGCAGCACCCCACAATAGCTCATCCTACAATATATTATCACGGACACCAAACAAAAGACTTGAGAGCCCTGCATCCCTCTAAACGTAAAAAGACCGCTCCTGAACAACACTCATTAGAGATTAACAGTGACCCTTAACCTGGTAGCCAGAGTAAGAGCAATAGAAAGGGCACACGATGGGCTTCAAGCCGTTGCTGTAGGATCCCCTGTATCTATCAGCGAACTGGAACACCTATACCCAGAAAATACACTAAACGTAAGAATTTATGCAAATTACTATTTCAATTAAACCTTTATGGTTTTGTCTGGAATCAATGACTCACCCTAATAGCTCTTCTGATTAAAGTTTTAGAGTACATGGGGTCGCTTCTTCTGAAAACCAGAGAAGCAGCTGCAAGAGCAGCAGCAGTTTCAGCGGCCACTTCTGAGCCGGGGGTGTTCCTGTCTATCTTGTAAACATTTCTTGGGGTATCCATATCTTCAGGTCTCTCCCAACAAGCATGGTCCTTCTTTGCATCTCCCACCTGCAAAGCCCAAACAATGTCAATCTTCCCTGCTCTGTATTCCCTTTGTAGTCGTGGGTAAAATGACGGTGCAAGAAATGAATAACCTGAACATAGATGGTGTCGGGATGTGCAGTGGCTTTGAGAAGATAATCAGTAGCCCAACGAATGGCCTCTCTGGCATTCTGCAACTCACCTTTCATTAGACCCCCAAACTCAATGACGCTCCAGGAAAGCATGGTGGTGGTGAATGCCATGGGAAAACCAAACTTGACGTTGTCCCCTGCATCGTAGTACCCTCCAACCAAATCAACCTGCATTTCAGTTCTACACCGATATAAGCCACCCTCACTCCACATTGCCCTCGTGAATGCAACAACAGACAGTAAATGCTAAACAATAAGGGGGAAAAAAAGAGAGATGTGGAATGTACGTGCAAGGCAGAGCCATCTGAGAGACCAGAGTCCCTCCTCCAAGTCATCCTCTGGTTGGGAGGGAGCTTCCCCGATCTCTGACCTTCAAAAAAGAGAATGGATTTGGAGAGAGCATCTCTGTAGTTGTGAGCGGCGAAACGAGGGTGGTGGAGATTGCGAGGAGGGTGATTGTGGTGGGCAGAGAAAGCATGGCAGTGAAGCAGAGTGGTGGAGAAGAGAAAAATAAGGACCAGTGGAGCAAAGGAGGGAAGGAAGAGACGCATTGTGACTGTGGGCTGCGCAGAAGTAACAAGATTGGCGCAACCAACCAACAACTAACCTGCCCCCTGCTTCAAGCCGCAATGCCTCTTGGCTCAAAGCTCTGTATTTATAAAGCAAAAACGGCCTCTGCCCTCTGTAAACGTCCTGCTTCTCGGGTACAACAATAATTGGCTCCACATGCTCCCACTCGTCTTTTTGGCTTTAATCAATTAACTAATCTAATCTTATTAATAACACTTGGAAATTTTGGGGACTTGTCTAGGTCACCGTGCAAAACAGTTTAGAAGCAGCAGCTGGGCTAATAAGCCAATCAAGGAAATTAATTAGCACGCCTGTCATTCTCTCCCATCTTACCATTAATCGAAAAGTTATAGAGACGTAAGCCCGCGATATAGAAATCAGCGTTGAGAGCAAGTGAACAAGAATTTATTGAGCCACTGCCCCTAATCTGTTGCTCACTTCTTTAGCCACATTTATTTATTTTGCAAATTAAAAGGACAAGTTAGTCAAAATAAGGGATATTTATCCCGTGTATTTACGAAAAGAATCTCTCTCTCTCTCTCTCTCAAAATGGGATAAAACAAGGTGATAATAAGCACCATGGTTATGAACTACAAATTCTCCATGCCAAAATATTCCCTCTTTTCAAATAAATAAATGCATGAAAGAAGAGAAGATCATGCTTGCCATTTATGGTTTCGTTGCTTATATTGCAAAAAATGACAGAGTGTTTTGATCATTGTCCAAAAGTCTAAAGAATCACAATATTTAACAGAGGGTAAAAGCCTTTCTGGGGCTATTGTTTATTAACTATTACTTTGTGTGGAGGCATGTGAAGTGTTGGGTGAAAGCGGGAAGGAGTGTTCCAGGGTGTGTGGAAGCAGAGCAGAGAAGATGCCCATACCATATAACAGAGATCACAGGAGAGGACAGAAGGTGGTCAGTGATGAACAAATCCCTGTTACGTTAACTTTTAAGCTAATCAAATTAAGTTGCGGTCATTTGCCCGACACGTACTTCCCCATAACATGTCAGAATACGAGACTGCAATATCTAGAAATTGGCTTCAGAAAAATACATACACATAGACAGCATGTGGAGAACGAGAACAATAACTCTGCCTCATAATGCCCTATGAATGATTGGATTGCTTTGCATATTCCTTATCCAGAGCAGCATTATTTGGTTGGGCCTAGTCACGTATATATGAATCTCTCGAGTCATTAAACCGCTCAATTATTAAAACAGTGACATTTGATGAACCTTTTCTGCTTCTCTTATCTCTGAGATAAGTGAATACCCATATAGAATTAGGTGGTACGATCTAGTGATTATGAATAAACTGAAATATGCATGCAATGAAATCACTAATCAGAAGGTGTGTAAAGAAACAATGGCAAGACATTAAACACGGTTGATGGGAAAGGAAGGAAAGCAGGAAGCATAGGCTGAACTGTACAAAACAATGCTGAAAGTGGAATATGAAATGGAAAGAAGGAAAGAGAGAAGTTGATTGACAGAAAGCCTGGAAAAGCAAGAAAAGGAAAATGCGGTGGGAAGGGAGAGTTATATTATATATTATAAAATAACATAAGAGAGAACTTGATTCCTTTTTTGGGGGGAATGATGAAAGGGAAGGCTGAGAGAGGCAACACATGCATGTGGCTCTTTATTATTATGGAGGGAGGATCCCACATCCATATGTATTCTTCCCAAAATTCTTCGCATCCTCTGCGCTCTGCCTATACAAATGTCCATACATCACACGTTGCTGGTCTTAGTCCTGTATATGAACACAGCCCAGTTAAAAAGCTGACACCAAACCACGTTCCTCCTCCTTACACAACTGCGAACATTTCCTGCGTTGCTTGTAGTGCTGGACAATATCTTTCCTCTTATCTTCTCTGGTTTTGAGCCCATGTTTCTTTCTTTGATATTTTTTCCCTGGCCTCCCTATTTTCTTGTTTCCCTTACAGCTAGTCAATATGTAGGACCCAGGATTCATGAGAATTGCATGAGCTCGTCCCCTTCGTGCTCTTTATTATCATTTCCATTCCAGTGCACTCCTTATTAACTATTAACTATTTCATCTTTAAATACTGGACGACTTCATTGATTGGTTTTCCAGACTTTCGTGATCGCCCTCTCATCTTTCGAACTCATCAATAAATGCGGCAGTCCCTCCGTGTGAATCGCGACAAAGCCAATAGCCGTTCGAAATTTACAAAAAAACATGCCTTTCACAATAACCGTTGTACATTTTCCAAGATAGAACGTGATGTGTTTGGCTTGGTTTTACATCTATACGGACTTCGTATTATAGGGTATATAAACATGATCGAGTGAGGGTTCAAAAATGAAAAGGACCGACACTAAATATATACATATATTATAAAGTTGACATGAATTATAAGAAATCACACATATATAGCACTCATAATTTGATAGAAGAAAACTGAAATGCCATGATGGCTGATAGTTCCCCTAGCTTCACCGCCAGAGGCCATAAAACAAGGTTGTACGTATCACCCTGTGCATATCAAACAAAAATGTTCTTTGTTCTCATTCTAAGTTTAAAACTAAAATTTTACATTTTTCCTCCAAGGCACTGATTCGAAGTGCAGATATTAAGCGTTAGAACTCAACCCCGCATGATTAAGCCATGGCTGTTTTTTCTCAAAGAGGTTTATTATCAGTGCCTGCGGGTCATCCATACCGTGATTGGTCAGCATCTAAAATAGGGCAGCACTCGTGTCAGTGTGAACTGTGAAAGGGCTTCGTCCCGTCCGCTGTGAAGCCTGCCCCATCAGCCTCATCATCGTACTTTTCCACTTTTTACTGCCCACCTTGCCTTTTTCACAATGGAAAAAAAACTCTTTCTTTCGACTTCGGATTGGATAAAAACAAATCAGGCCTGCAACTAGCTGGGCCTACGATCCATGACCATATAAAAGCAATTGGGCTGCAAAAGTTTTATGGTTAAAGAATGCCAAGGCAAATTTATCCCCAAAAAAATTACAAATAAAAACTCCAAAATATATAAAATTACAATTTAAGATTGTAAATTTAAAAAATAATAAATAGAAACCTGGTTTCATTTTTATAACATGAGTGAAATGTCTGAAATGTTTTTTAATTAAATGATAAGTGACTATGAGAAATGAAATTCATTTTAACGAATGATAATTTCAATAAACCAAATCACAATTTGATTGAGGAACATTTTAAATATTTCATTTATATTTCATATTTACAAAAATAAGACCTAATCCTTATTTTTATTATTTTTCAAATTCAGAATTCCAACATTTTTCATGTTAGAGAGTCTTTATTTATAATTTTTTCCCAAAAAAAAATGCAAGGGCAAGAGGTAAACTTGAATTATATTCCATTTGAAAAATGAAGAGAAAAGTTCAGCTCAGTTCAAGGTAAAAAGGAATGGCAGTGGTATTCAACCAGTCATATCCCTGAATAAACCGTGCGGCTGTGAACTGAGAAGCCTCGGCGGAGGAGTTGATGACCCTAAAACCAGGCCATCTGACTCTGGCGCTCGTGTTGGAACCAGGACCTCTGTTCATGTACTCCCCATAATACAACGTGTCCAAGCCCAACGTTCCGTTCCACTCCAACCACCCCTCAGGCTGAATCACATCCTCCATGTAGGATTCCAGATACACCGTCCTGGAATAGGGCTTCCAGGGGCGTCCCAAGTAGGTCTTGAATGAGGACTTGACGGGGATCAAATCCTGAGCGGCGGCGACCTTGCAGTTCAGGATGGAAATGCCGGTGCTCTGGTTAGGGTCGTCTCTGCCCTGAGCGGTGAACATGTTCTTCTGGTTCTGCAGAGGCTTGCGCGCGTACAAGTTGCAGTTTTGGAACAGAGCGGCGGCGTTGCCGAAGATGAAGTCGACGGTGCCGTAAATGTCGCAGTCGCGGTAGAACTGTCGGAGGGAATGGACGTAGAGGGTGTCTTGATACCCAATAAAGCTGCATCTGTAGAATGCCGATAGGTCTGCACTGTTTCGCAGAGCCACGGCTTGGTGTTTGCTCGCTCCCGCAAAGTTCTCGAACGTTACCCCCTTTGCTATGAATCCCGTTCCCGCCACAGCTGAAACACACGTCATTATAATCATAATTTATTTATTTATTTATTTCCGCAATTAATTTTTCATATGGTTCTCTTACTGGGAATCGTGACGGAAGTGCCATCATGAATTCTCCTTTCCTATACACGCGGCCCGAATGTGTTGGTCCAACAGAATTACATAAATTATTAGGGCTCGTCTTTTCAGAAAAATTGACACAGGGCCTCTCAACTCTAAATTCTAATACAGTGCTGTCCATTCTGTCGTTTTCCTCTTCCCGATAATTGTCATGTGTCGGTAGCTCAGAAGAATTAAGGGAATTTTCTCATATACTCTATATGTAAAAAAGAATTAGGGGAAGACTTGGACATGATTATTGCTAAGCGTGCAAACCCAGTCGAAGGTTGCCACTATTTATAACTAAATACCCCAATTTTACCCGAATTTATAATCCTTCGAGCTACATAGGCAAGTGATCATTGGAAATAAATAACTATATAATTATCGCAATTCGTACAATAAAATAAAATGAAGGCAAGTTAAATCAATCCCATGCATGGTCCACGGGTACCTAATTTGTAATTATATGCTATTCTTGAAAACTAGCTTCATTTTTTCTAAAGAGATAATGCAAGCGTGGCAGACCAGTGGATATCAAGATTATGTGATATCTGAGTTTTCTGTCTTTGTTAATCACGGGCACTGCCATATGTCTTTTCTGTTTCTCTGAGCTTTTCTTTCTTTATTTCTTTGGGGGGTAAAAACTGAAAGGGCGGTGTTCTGCTCACTTCCAATGTTTACGACAGCAATGTTTCTTTCGGCCTTTTAGAGTGAAAATTGAATCATATGGGTTAACCAAACTTGTGGGTTTTTTGGTTTCTTGGTGACAACTTTATTATGATTTTCAAATCATTAATCAATATCGATTTGACATTATGCTCTCTTCTTTAATCTATCGTATTCGTGCTCAATTAAGGCCAACCGAATCGTCCAAAATAGTAAAGCAGCGGAACCTTTCCTTTTCTCCTTTTAATCCATTACCGAATTTGTTTAAATATTTTTAGTTCTTCTAAGACGAGAATTATCGAATGTATATGAATAATTATAAGGTCAGGAACTTTTCTGAAACTCACCTACGGTGGCTGATTGAAAAGTTGTCCATCCGTCGACGACATTCCTATTGGCTTTCACTACCGTCTTCCCAATTCCATCCCCAACGAACATCAAATTGCTCTTTTTCCTGATCACCTCCACATTCTCAAAGTACGCCCCGGCTTTTATGTGTATCACAATCCTATCACACATATATAAAATCATTCACTCAAAACAGAAACACTATACCCACCATGTAATAGATCAATAAGAACGCGCTTGCCTGCTTGTGCTGGAGTTGGGAGCCGCATTCACAGCCTCCCCAATTGAAGTGAAATTTCCCGTGCCATCTTTTGCCACCACGAGATCGAACCTCGTTTCATTCACATTGGCTTCCAGGAGCTTTCGTTCTCTGGAGTACAACCACGAAGGGAACCCATTTTTCACGTTCCCGTGCTCCGGGAAGATCTCAGACTCGGAAGCTTTCTTCAGTCCGGGCACGTTCTTGAGCATGGCCAATGAGTTACTAACTTGACGCGAGATCTCAAACAACTTGTCCTGGATCCTGTCCCTCACATTCCCTCGGCTGTACGCAAACCCATCAAGACACGTGTACAGGTTAGTCATTGCCCCGCTCAGCAGTGTCTGCAAGTCACGGTAACGCTTGAAGCCGATTACGGCGCCAGAGAGATCAGCCATGGTGGCGTCGAGCTCGTAGACAGTGTCATCAAACAGTTTGAGACAATCGTCGAGGGCTCTCTGTTCGAGTGGGTTGAGATTCCTGAGGTTGTTCCGGAGGCCATTGCAGTTGTGGGACGAGGATTTCACCTCAGATACCGTGTGATTGACGACAGAGGAGATGATTTGCGGGACAGATTTGGAGATAAGATCGGGCAAGGAGGCAAGGGTTGAAACGCAGAGTTTTGGGTAGAGTGTTCCTTGGCATGTGGTGTGGGCTACTTGCAGGTGTGTTTGTGAGAGGCTGGCATGACGGGGTGGAAAAGGTGAAGCACAGAGACTAGAGAGAGAACAAGAGAAAGAGCTGTTCTTCTGCTGAGGTTAAACATGGTGAAATTTTGGAAAGTGAGGAGGAGAGGGAACTGAGATTTGGTGGTGGGATAAAAATAGGTGTGGTTAATTAATTAGTGCTTTGTTATATTAATGGACAAGTGGAGTTTGCCTGTAGATCTCACGGAGATGCCATGAATGAAACTCAAAGAAGGCTCTTTTTGGATTTACTCACATGCAATGAACATCCATATTATTACCTGATTCCTAAAATGAAAGTGGGAGCTTGAGGTTTCCATCGAGGACAGAATGTGGGACAACTTCAATCATTTCGGCTCCCACATAAAGTACTGCAGGGGGGTCGTGAAATAGTCTTTACTCTGTCACGGGACAAAAGTAGCTCAAAGCGTGGTGCATTTGCTTTCACGCACCAAGTCATATTCATATGGGAAGATATAATAACAGTTGGAATCTCGAATACCTCTACAACAGGATTGCGATGGTGATTGCCCAATTATTTATTTGTTAGAAGCAGGATAAATGCTGTTGTGGGGGCCTACGCTTAGTGCGATGATGTGGCCGAAAGGTAATAGCTTTTGCCGCACATTTTAGCTGGGCTGATCAGAGGGAAACTTCGGCTTCTGCTTTTGGCAGAGGCTAGATAGGCCCTTCTGATAAGACAGGAAGGTGGCGAAAGAAATGCAAATCTTAAATTACTACGAACGATAAATCCAAGCTGCAAATTCTTCATTGTGCAATATTACTGCCTTCAAGCAGTGGGTCACGTGATGAAGCGCAGTTAATAGCCCGAGCATTTTATGATTATTGGGCCAGACAAGGGGCAAAAAAAAAAAAAGGCTACAAATTGAGTTTACACTTTACATGACCTCTGAGAAAGATGTTTGGTCACGTGCTGATCATGTATATTGTCGGGGGCTGATTGTGAGGCTGCTATCTCCGGGAACAGATGTTTGTACAATCGTTCACTATTATTTTCCCCTCTTCTGTTTTAGGGAGGGCTGGTTTATGTATTCTTGGGTCAGACAAGTAAAAAAAGCAGGATGTCGTATCAAGGAAAAATGAGCAAGAAAAATGCAGGGTATGGTCGCAAGGTGGTTGAGGAGTCCTAGTAAAGGCCAGCCAGATGCTGGGCTCCAGAGTTGAAATCGAACCGCGGTGGACCAGATCCATGTTGAAGCGCGCCTTGTTGAGGAATCGCATGAAAATGAAAACAAAAAAGAGACGTTTAGTGGGCCTGTGCCTTTTTATTTCTTTCTTTCAAAAAATTACAACGGAACAAAAAGGCCTACCGGAAATTGAAAGGGAGGCCCAATAACGCCAAGCCCAAAATGCCATCAAACAAAGGGGATCCTCATTATCGCATCAGCGCATCCTCTTCACCTGTTGGGGGTTCGTTCTAATAATAATAATAATAAATCCTATAGTCTTGTGCCGCCAAATCCGTTTCATTCTATGATTATTTCCCTCTTTATTTTGTTCTTAGCATTAAAATAATAATAAAATACTCCTCCGTCCTAATTATAAGACAATTGACTTTTGAGGAGATTAAGGAAGTAAGTTAAGTTGGTTATTATAATAAATAAGTGTTATTCCTAAAATATCCTTGCTAATTAAGTATTGGCTAAAACTATCATTATTAGAAGGATTATCTTGGAAAATACATAAATATAAGAGAGAAAATGGATTGGGTCTTATAATTAGGACCAAATAAAAGTCAAATTGGATCTTATAATAAGGACTACTTCCACATACACTTGCAAGCTCCCCCCCCCTTCATTGGGATCATGCTCCCAGGTTTTGGATGTATTTCCTCTAGTGATAAGTGAGAACCTCAGCCAGCTTATTGTTTTCTGAACAACATATCTGACAACTACAAGGGTGCTAACTATTATACATCACTCTACCCTTTCTTTCTTGCCTTTTTCTCTGCGTAAAAATGGGTAAGTGAATAATCAAGATTGCTTCACGCATTGTTCCTCACTTCCTGTAGCATAATGGTCCGAGCAAACTAAAACAAACCAAGAACTGGAACCACGGGACAATTTCTTTCCAGGACATTTTAGCTCGGGATTTAGCAGTTCTCTTCATGCATGCCCTGCGCTATAGTTCCAATTTTTGTGACAGAAAATTTTTCTCCACCCCACGGGAGGGAAGCCAGGTCCAGGACAGCTTTTTAGCATATTAACTATTGTTTTTAGTCATTAATATAAGAACTAGTTTGACATTCAATTTATTCCTAAATATAATACTCACATCTATTTTGTTTTTAATATTTATCTATTTTTTCTCAAGTAATTCTGATAATAGTTGCATATGTTAAAGAGTTACTTTAAATGGATAGTTTAAATACACATGATTAATAATGATATTTTAGAAAAAAAATAATACCTATTTACTACAAATAACAAACTTAATTAATTTTTTTAATCTTTCCAAATTAGTTAATTAAGTTTTATATTAAATACCAAAGGTAATATTTTATTAGATAATTTTCTGTAATATCTCAGCTGCATTCTTATAGAAGGAAATCGTGGGGGTGACTTCCCACCAACAACACACAACGTTGACAAAATAACCATACCAGCTCAGCCTATATATTCCCAGCACGATTGAAACACATTTTCAGAATTCCAGAATTTTTTTATGTGTAACGTGATATCTTTTATCTACACAGCCTCTTGATGGAAGCCAGTCTGCTAATCTCAAGTTGACTTCCATGCAATACTCACGGACGGAGTTTGACGGAGTGTTTTAATGCTTTAAGTATTTAAATAGGTAATTATAAAACAAATGATAATATTAAATTGTTCATAGATTACACTGCACTTCGCCTAGGTCCTAGCTAGCTAGTTAATCTTCTTTAATCACGCATCATCTAGCACTGAATCAGCTTAACAAGAGCTGATCACAAGTAATCTCCAGCCTTTCCCTATAAATGGACCTGAAAATCCAGCAAATTCTCGCGGTCATATTTCCATTTAACACCATCATAATGGCTTCGAATGTCTTGTTCAAAGCCACATTGTCAACTTTCCTTCTTCCCCTCTTCGCATTCCTTGCTACTGCAGATGAATTCATAACCAACCCTGTTCCGTCAGATGCCATATGCAACGCCACCCCAGACCCATCTTATTGCAGAGCCGTGCTTCCATGGAAACACGCTCAAATGCACGACTTTGGCAGGTTCTCCATCCAAAAATCGCTATTTCAAACCCGTCACTTTTCGAACTTTGCCAAGTCCTATCTTCTTAACCACTCCACCACTTTATCCCAGGGCACAATTCGTGCAATTCAAGACTGTATATTTCTCTCCGAACTTAACGTGGAATACTTATCCAAGTCCAATGAGATTGTCATGAAGGCTCCTGAAACTCTCTCAAGCTCCCAAGCTGATGATGCCCATTCCTGGCTCAGTGCCATTTTAACGAACCACCAGACTTGTTTGGGCGGAATAATCAGCACGACTTCCGATATGAGCACTGAGAATGGGCTTTTAGGCCACCTCTCTGATGACACTAAGCTCCACAGTCTGTCTCTGGCTCTGTTTACAAAGGGGTGGGTACATGAGGAAAAGAGCAAGCCAATCTGGAATTCCAAAGGGTGGCATGCAGGTTTTCGAAATGGTCGTTTACCTTTGAAGATGTCAAATAGAACGAGAGCCATCTATGACTCAATCAGAGGCAGAAAGGAGCATGAAGACGATGAAAATGACGAAGAGAGTGTTCTGATTAGTGACATAGTAATTGTGAGTCAAGACGGGAGTGGAAATTTCTCCACCATCAACGATGCCGTCGCTGCAGCTCCGATTAACAACAATGTAAGTGATGGGTATTTCTTGATTTATGTCACAGAGGGCGTGTATGAAGAATACGTGTCCATCCCCATCAACAAGCCGTATCTCATGATGATCGGAGATGGAATCAATCGCACAATTATCACGGGCAACCACAGCGTCGGCGATGGCTGGACAACATTCAATTCGCCAACATTTGGTAAGAAAAAGCTCTCTTGCGCATTAATTTGCGAAAAAAGGCTTTCTCACCAAATATTTGAAAGATGAAAACACAAGGATGATGAAATGATATTTAGAAGCTGAAAATCTGATTATGCGTTGAATTGCAGCTGTGGTAGCAACGGGGTTTGTAGCAGCAAGAATGACATTCAGAAACACAGCAGGGCCAAGCAAGTTTCAAGCAGTAGCAATGAGAAGTGGGGCAGACCAATCCACGTTCTACAGGTGCAGCTTTGAAGGGTACCAGGACACTCTGTATCCACATTCACTGAGGCAGTTTTACAGAGAATGCGACATCTACGGCACAATAGATTTCATACTTGGAAACGCAGCAGTTGTTCTGCAGAACTGCAACATCTATGCTCGCCTTCCATTACAGGGACAGTTTAATCCCATCACTGCTCAGGGACGAACAGACCCAAATCAGAACACAGGCATTTCCATCCATAACTGCACCATTAAAGCTGCCGATGACTTAGCCGCGAGTGGTGGAAGCGTAAAGACTTATCTTGGAAGGCCATGGCAGCAGTATTCGAGGACAGTTGTGATGCAGTCGTTCTTGGATGGTCTGATTGATCCTGCAGGGTGGTCTGCATGGAGTGGGGACTTCGCACTTGACACTTTGTATTACGCTGAGTTTGGGAACAAGGGACCTGGAGCTAATACTAGTGATAGGGTGACCTGGCCGGGTTACCATGTGATTAATGCTACGGATGCAGCTAACTTCGCAGCTTCTAACTTTCTGCAGGCGGATGATTGGTTGCCTCGGACTGGAGTTCCCTATCTGGATGGGCTCTTCACGGCAAACTAAAAAAATTCCATATGCTATTTCTGTTGTTTCCAGTTTTCTTTCTTAGTCTTCGGAGAAATAACCAGCATAAGCAAAGATAAAGTGCGCCTCATTTCATGGTGCTCACCCCTCAATTGGATCTGCCTCGCTAGCGATTGCTAGTTAATTATCTGAATGCATGATATGATATCGTCTTTTGATATGTCTGGTTTCACCTGTCATGATATTCACATCGTCTGTGCAACGAAAATACAAGAAGAAAACTAATAACGCAGAGGAGTTGGACAAAGAAAATTGATCGTGAAGTATAACTTATATATCCTGTTGCCAGCGTAAAGCCCTACTAGTATTTGTATTTTCGTTTTAAATTATTGGGTTTTCCGCACTAAGGATGAAGATGACGTAAAAGTCAAATAACAAGAAGAAACAACAGGAGGCAGAGGAGAATCGAGAGATTTGAAAGCCGAAGATGACATGAAGTTAAAAAGAGGAAGGAAACACCAACAGAGGACAGTATTAACTCCCCTGCGGCCCGCAAGCTTCATGAAACTGGTATGGGATTGGTGGGGAAGCCCCTTCAGGCAACATATGTTTTCAAAAAGGGCCATGCACATTGGAACACTAACGAGCACAACTGAAAATTAGGGTCGTGCATGGCCTTGGGCTTCACGCGTCAATGAGTGAGGAACATGTTATTTTTGTAGGGATGGGACCGGAAGGACAACGTAAACAGCAGATGAAGATGAAACTGAGGAAGCTGGCCATTAGCTCCAGAACTGACCAGACCGGAATATCATGGGCCCAACCTGTCCAAGGGAAAAGGCCACAAAATGATCCGACTTGGATATAATTGATTTTTATTTTTGATGTGTTATTCTGCGTAACGCTAATTTGAGTAATTTCATTCCGCCCGAAATATCATGTAAATTAAGTGCCTTTCATTTATTTAAATTATATGAATATATATAGTACTTTGAATAAATTATTATCTCAATAATTGTTTTTTTTTACCGAAGTCAATAATTGGTTTTTGATGCACATGACATCACATTTTCGTATTGTTTACTTTATAAATTTATATAATTACGTTAGAAAATTTAAAAATCCTTAGCATTAATTGCAGCTCATATCATTGTAAATCATGATTGAGTAAGGTTTCAAATAAAGGCCTTCTTTGATTAAAAAGGCGTGGCGAATGGAATATGGCTGGAATTCTACTCCATACTTTTTGTGGAAGACAGCTTTAAGAAAATTATTAAGTATAGTAATTCTAAATTTGTTAAAAAAATCACTTTATTCCTTGGGTTTTTGTTTTTTAAAAAAGTCTTGAATCGGACCGAATATTGATATAATGTATATTCAATCGAACCGTACAGGTGACTTGAAGTTCAACAGTCATGCCCGGAACACATACAGTATCTGAAGTCAAATTTAGAAATTTGTAACTTATTCGGTGTCCCCCCCCCCAACAAGTCTAATTATTTAAAAATACCCATTAGCAATTAGTTTTCTTGCCTGTTGTAGTGTCATGAGACAAACCAAAAAAAAAAATCATCATTCCTCTTCCTCCCCTGGGTATACAGACGATGAAATTAATCCCTAATGTGTTATATTAGGAAATAAATTCGTGGTCGTTGATGAAAAAAATACATAAATGCAAGAAATACGTTGACCCTGGAAGCCTTTAGAGTGGAGTTATAGACGGCTGGCTTTAAAACTGTTCCACATGCTCGTTTATTAACAATAACATGACGCCTCCAACAAACAAGGCTGAAAGATGCGCGCTCCTACCTTTTCAACACAACCAAGGAAAGACGATACCTAACTTTGCCTGTCCACGTGTCAGTCTCTCGTCTCCAATATGAAAACATTCATTCGCGTATATATCATCATCTCAACAAGGCCGCCCTAACTGATCTCATTTATTTTCTGCACTGTTCTGTATATTTGCTGCTGGTAATGCAATCCATCACCCAGCAGCTGGCTCCTAACAATCTTAAAAACCAACACAAGGATCGGATCTTATCCCCACGGATATTTGGATACATGAACGCACTGTGACTTGTGCGTACGTTTGTTTCTCCTGATGAAACTACAAAATCAGATAAATGCTAACATAATGGCTGTGTGTGGGATGATGGCGACCAATCAGCTTTGACATGTGGACGCGCCCTGCTGTATGGAATCCCTTCATTCCTAAGACAAAATAACTAAGCTGACTACTTTCCCTATGACTTGCTTCAAATACAAATTACTCGGAAACTCATTTCTCAACATTACACAAATCAAGAGGCCCGGCCGCGCTATATAATAAGCAACTCACATCCCCATATATTACACACCTCGATCAATATCTATCTTCCTTTTATTCAGAGCCCAACAATAATATGGCTTTCAAGCTCTTGCCCTTCCTGGCTCTCACATCGTTTTACATATTCCTTACCTCGTTTGTGTCGTTTTCTGTGGCAGTGCGCCATCGTCAGCATGGAAGAGCTCACGTTCCTCCAGAAACCGTCTGCCACAACACACAACACCCTTCTTATTGCAAACATGTTATTGCTCATCACCACGGCAACAACGTCTATGACTATGGACGTATCTCTTTTAGGAAATCCTTATCTCACAGCCACAAGTTCCTCAACTTAGTCGACTCCTATCTTCTGTCTCCCTCCTATTTGTCTCAGTCTACAATTCGAGCTCTTGAAGATTGTCAATCCCTCTCTCAACTAACCTATGAATTCTTGTCGACTTCCTACCCCACCGTCAATCGATCCAGCTATGTTCTTCCCTATTCTCAAGCCGACGATATTCAAACTATGCTCAGTGCCGTTCTCACAAACCAACAGACTTGTTTGGATGGCCTTCAGACGACGGCTTCAGATCCAAAAGTGAAGGACGATCTTTCCGTCCCACTCTTGAACGACACTAACCTTCACAGTGTCTCTCTTGCTCTGTTCGTGAAGGGCTGGGTCCCTAAAAAGAAGAACAGACCGTCATCGCACGGTAATGGAAGAAATTTAGGTTTCCGGAATGGACGTTTGCCTTTGGAGATGAGAAAGCCTGCACGTGACGTATATGAGCATGCCAGAAGACACGGGAGGAAATTGCTCCAGACTCTGACTGACATCACAAGCGTCGTCATAAGGGACATCGCGGTCGTTAGTCAGGACGGAAGCGGAAACTACACCACCATTAACGACGCCATAGCGGCCGCCCCCAATAAAACAGCCGCTGGCCAAGGCTATTTCTTGGTTTATATCACGGAGGGCGTGTACCAAGAATACGTAAACATAGACAAAAACAAACGGAACTTGATGATTCTGGGAGATGGAATCAATCGCACAGTGATCACCGGCAATCGCAGTGTTGCGGATGGGTGGACAACATTCAACTCAGCAACATTTGGTAAGACAACAAATATATAATACATATAATAGATGTTCTGCTTGACTGCGTATTTTGTAAAGACATTTGATGAACGAGTAAGGCCTGATAAGCAAGCCACAATTGGATTTTTGCAGTTGTGGTAGGACAAGGATTCGTAGCAGTGAACATAACAATCAGAAACACGGCAGGGCCGATCAAAAGGCAAGCAGTTGCATTAAGAAGTGGGGCAGACTTGTCTGTCTTCTACAGCTGCAGTTTCGAGGGTTACCAAGACACCCTGTATACGCATTCTATGCGACAATTTTATAGAGAATGTGACATATATGGAACGGTCGACTTCATATTCGGGAACGCGGCCGTCGTATTACAAAACTGCAACATATATCCACGGTTGCCCATGACGGGACAATTCAATGCTATCACAGCGCAAGGTCGAGTTGACCCAAACCAGAACACAGGCATCTCCATACAAAACGCCACTATAAAGGCTGCGGACGATCTCATGGATGCTCTCCAGAACGCGACGGCCGTGAGGACTTACCTGGGGAGGCCATGGAAGCAGTACTCGAGGACGGTTTATATGCAGAGTTTCATGGACAGTTTGATAGAGGCTGCGGGCTGGCGGGAATGGGATGGAGATTTTGCTTTGGATACGCTGTACTACGCAGAACACGACAACAGAGGGCCCGGTTCGGACACTGGGAACAGAGTGACGTGGCCTGGTTATCATCTGATTAATGCTACGGATGCCGCTAATTTCACGGCGGATAACTTCCTGCAGGCGGATGCTTGGCTGGCTCGGACGGGCGTCCCCTTCTTCACTGGTTTGATTTAGACGTCTCGTAGGGTTTCAATTCATGCGAGCCCGTTCTTCTATTTACCAATTTTCAGTCTCGTCTGTTACTTTGCATTAACTAGCAAAGCCATATTACATCTGTTCATTATCTGGTGGTGTCGCCCATCATGACAAAAGAACTATTAATAGTACTGGACTATTGTGTTCATTGGGCCCTGAGCTTTGTTTCTATATGGAATGTAAAGAGGGGCAACTGAAACAGGCCCATTTCTTGGATGGACTTGAGGGAAACAGCAGAGGAATCCTGATCATTTGTCTCCGCAGTCCAATTCTGTTTGTTTCCACGAATCATCCGGAGAGTGAGCAAAAGCTTAACATGTGTACATTTAGAGAAATCAAGGTCCCATTTCAATTCGGTTGTTTTCAATTCAATTAATGTAAATTATCGTTATGCCTCGGCTAAAATACCATCGTTTAATCTCCCTTTTATAGGCGAAAAATGATATGTGAAAATAATAGATGATGAAAATAAAGATATAGCTGCAGTTAGTTGAGGTACTTTTTCTAAAATAATTATACGCGCGTTTATTAAATAAGAGTATATTTCACTGAAAGAGAAAGGAATTTGACCAAGATTTATAGACCTGCAAAATTTTGAAACGAAATAAAAAGTCTAAAACATTGATGATTTTCAAATGGAAGGGGTGAGCAGGTAACAAACTTGTCTGAGATATGGCGGAATAAAAGATTCTATTTTTGGATGTGCGTGAAATTCGCCGTTGACCTGTTGGTAAAATTAATATTATATAGCGGGTTGGAAAACATCAAAGTAGCTATGTAAGTTCTCCAAAATGGTAGTACTTAATTAGCAAACTGAGAATGAATAATATCTTTTTATGACTCCAAAGTAATTGTGCATACTATATTTTAGAAAATGAAAAGAATAATTAAGCATGGAAAGTAAAAATAAATTTCATGTCTATACTATACTATTTCGTGCCATTATTTTTAATTATATA